CAGCTCCTCTGTCAGTGTCAGTGGTCAGGATGGGTCATGGCCTTGTATGACCACGTTGCTTTCAATGAAAGCATGGGAGACTTTTCCCTCATGGTGACCCTTCCTTTGGCACATGGTACATTTGTCCTCTGGTGCCCTGCAGTCTCCCTGCTCAGGAACTAGAGTGACTTGCCAAAGATATAGGATCCTGTAGGAAAGGTTCCTTTGTGTCCTGGATCTTGTAGACCTTGAGGGGCCAGGGCCAAAATATTGGCTGTCCTCATAGCACAGTTACCTTTCTAGTTTTGGTCTCCAAACTGTAGTTGTTGAACACCCAGAAGAGAAGATCAGTGACATCAGTAGCACAGTAGGAGCAGTGAGCTTAATAATCTTGTCTGGATATTAAGCACTTGGAAGTATAAAGCACAATTAGAGAGGCTGTTTTTTCTTATCAACCATGGTTGCTCTAGTAGTTGAATTCCTGAAGAATGTTAACCAGACAATAGTTATATATTATAAAGCACACAACTTAAAAATTAAGACACTTTTAAAACAAAAGCTGAAACAAAGGCCAGAATTTATGAAACAAAAACCAAAATCTATGAAACAAATGTCAAGAGCCTATGAAACAAAGGTTATAATCTATGAAGCAAAACGTCCAAAGTTAGAACCTATGAAAGAAAGCTCTTACCTCCATCCAGTAATCATGGTGGAAGAGCTCCAAAATGATATAGGGGGAAGAGATGTGACTCCCAAACCTGCTCAATATCCAAAGCGCAAGTTCATGTTCTCTAAAATCGAAGAATGAATTCTAGGAACAACTGAGGTTAAGAGTAGGAAAAAATCAGGGCCGGTTATTTAGCTCAGTGGTTTGTTGGCCTGCCTTGCAAGCACAAGGACCGGAGTTCAATCCTCTATACCAAAAAAAAAAAAAAAAAAAAAAAAAAAAAAGAGAGAGAGAGAGTAGGAAAAATTCATTGAGGGAAAGAAAGCTTCTAAGAGAAACAGAAGGGGGACCAGAAAGTAATTTGCCCCTGAGCAGGAATATTTTGAGGAGGATTCATGATGATGTGTCTTTTAGTGCCTCAAATCACCATCTCCCCATGTACATGTGAGCAAGGGTCTTTTACAGTAAGGAATAGATGGGAGGGAACAGAGAGACAGTGCAGATCTTCACACTTGCTTTCTCACCTTCAGCCATCTTCAGCACTTTGTCCCTTTCTTGTGGAGAGCAAACTGGTCTCCAGCTTCCTGGGGCAGGAATCTGCATATTCTGTCACTTCCTCTGGGCTGAGGAGAGGAGGGGGAGTTGGTTATATGTTCAGCAGGAGGAAGTTTGGAGAAATATCTCTACAAGGAAAAAAATCTAATGTTTAAAGTTCTGTATTTCAGTGAGGATTATACTTATAGTAGTAAAAATCATACTGAAAGTGTACTGGTACACACCTGGCATGATGGGGAAGGGACTAGGGATGCTCTGTTCAATAAGTTCATATAGTTTCAGTTTTGCAAGGTAAAGTATTCTGCACCCAGTTTAAAAAATCTAGAGTTCTGGGGATAGACAGCTGTGATAGTAACATATTTTAAGTGTGTTTAATACCACTGCACTGCATACATAAAAATGGTTCAAATGTTATTCATGTTGTGTGTATTTTCCCACAATAAAAATGGAATAAATCTGTGTGTTTTATTTATTTTATAATTTAACCATTCTCGCCATTTTAAAATTGCATTTTCTTTTCTATTTCAGTACTCCCGTCTTTATAAGGAAAAGCAAAACTTCTCACAGACATGAGTGATTCTCTGGTGTGGCTGCTCTAGAAAGCAACAGTGAGACTTTTGTTCTTCATTACAGGATTGAGAAAGAAATAAATAAGCAATAAAAGCACAGACAAGTTCTTATTACCAGCTAATCTTAGGCATGGTGTGACATTCATTTTAAGCATATGAACAGCCATAATCAGAAGCAACTTCTTTTTTTCTCCCACTTTATCCTTATTTTGGTCATTTATAAGGAAGTGTCTCACTGTCTGCTACTGGGGGTTCCTTCTCTGTTCCCTCCCCCTTGAGTACATTTACCATCTCTCAAATCTCTCACTTTTCTTGTGCTCCCTAGTCAACCATACATGAGACTGAACACCTACTTCACGTCTGATTGTGTTAAAACCCTCTCTTCCCCCACACTTTTTTCTGACAGTGGCATCAGTATGAAGTTTAGAAGTCAGTCAGTGTAGATCTGTGTGAGGTGAGTGCTCAACTTTTTTGACTGATTGAAGTTTGGAGACCAGGATCTACATATGAAAATTTTCTCCCAGGGAAGGACCCTTGCTTTCTCCATTGATTTTACTCTCCCTTGGCTTTATATGTTTTGATTTTTTTTTGTTTTGTTTTGGTACTAGGGATTGAACTCAGGTCCTTGCGCTTGCAAGGCAGGCGGTAGAACCACTGAGCTAAATCCCCAGCCCTCCCTTGGCTTTATAGAAACAATGTTAATAGGTAAAATCTGGCTGGAGATGATGTTGAGAAGCATAAATAAGGAAGAGAGGCTCTTGATGGCACATAGATAGCAGCAGAACTGCTATCTATGTAAATGATATAGGAGAAAATATAACTCCCAACCTGCTAGATGTCAGATATGCTGAGTTTGTGTCCCCTGAATCAAAGAATGAATTCCAAAGAACACAGGAGATTAAGAGTAAGAAAACTTTTTTGGGGAATGGAAATAGCTCCTGAGAGACAGGAGGGATCTCAGAAGTGGGTTGCCACCAAGGGCCTTAGTCAAAGATAATTTATACAACAAAGTTACAATGTGGGTGTAACATGGGTCAAACGACAATTTAAAGGCTTACAAGTGTTAGCTGCTTAGCTACTATCGAGCCAATAAGGAAGTGGGTCACATAGCAAGGGTACATGGAAAGAACAAAGGCATTTTGGGGAAGGGATGGGTTCGGATGCTCTGGTTACACACCTGGGAGACTGACATCTAGCTGGACTTCCTGGACCAGGTGATACTGATTATACTATAATCGTGGTCTTCCTCAGATGTGCTCCAGGCACAATTTTAATGTCTTTTTTTTTTGCTGACTTCATTGATAGCTCAATCCCTTTTTGATTGTACATTAATTTCTAACGTAGTTGCCTGTAATACAAAGATGACCAGCACATGAAAACCTGTGAGTGGAAATAGTCACCTTCAACCAGGTGGTTATTTCTACCAATTCACCTGGAGCCAGTGTCCCTTCTTCATTAGGATCACATTGATCCTTTTGGTTGCTCAACCTAGTTTGGGATCCAGGACATGATGGGGCACAAGGAAATCCCCTAAAGAGGATACAGGGACCTCAACTCAGCCTGCTGAGTAAATTCTCAACTCGCATCATGGATAAAGAATTTCAGGATGGGGGCCGGGGATTTAGCTCAGTGGTTCCGCCTCCTGCCTCACAAGCGCAAGGTTCTGAGTTCGATTCCCCAGTACCAAAAAAATAAAAAAATAATTTCACAATGCATCAGTGTGAGGCACAGAAAGCCGCCTTAGACCAAGTTAGAAAGTCAGAGAGAATAGGAAAAGACTCTAGTTTGAGTAGTTGGAGGGGCATGCTCAGATGCAGGGGACAGACTGGCCTGCTGCAAAAGAACAAAGCCAGCTTTTTAAGGATTAGCTGAGGTGGGCCAGAGTATAGTCATTCATTGTCTCAGTCTGGCTTCCTTAGCTCTGGAGGAACCCTTATAGGCTAGAGTAATGAGGGAGACTCAGTTCCCAGGTGGTCATTATCCTTGCCCAGGAAGGGGCTGCCTCCATTCCCATCACAGAGGGGAACTAATCTCATCATGGGTTGTCTGCTAGGCTCTATTTTTCCTAGAACCCGAGTGGATTACAGACTTAAACCAATGGTAGGAGGCTTCTAGGCATTGCTCCACAGGTCTGGAGCTGATTGGCAACTGGATGTCCCTATAAATTCTGAAGACTGCATTAGTTACTCTATCTCAGTGTCCACTGTCTTGCAATCAGATGAAATAGGCTAGGTAAATTTAGGGCCAATACACTTTGTTTTGCCAACTTCTTAAATGATTAATATTTCTAATGCAGAGCTAAAAAGGGATCTGATCCAGAGTTTTAAGGCAATAAGAGAGAAAAATTTGAGTTTCCCCTGTCTCCTTTTTTTTTGTACTGGGGATTGAACTCAGGTCCTTGTGCTTGCAAGGCAGGCCACCGAACCACTGAGCTAAATCCCCAGCCCCCTGTCTCCTCTTTACCTACATTTTCTTCCTCTATCCTGCTCAGTGACAGACTAACTTACTGGATAAGGAAAGAGGAAAAATTGGGAACCAGCTTTCCCCCAAAAGGATTGATAAATGATGCAAAGAACAGCATTTGGGGGCCATTTATATAATTAGGTATATTAATGCCTGATTCAGTTACTGATCTGTGAATAAATGGGTAATTAAGAATATCACACTGGGGATTTAGCTCAGTGGTTCTGCTGCTTGCCTCACAAATTCAATCCCCAGTACCAAAAAAAAAAGTCACACTGGAGATGAGAATGAGCACTAATGTGTAACTGACTGAATTTCAGCTCCTGCCATCACTTGTATCCTAATATACAAAGTCTATATTGAAAGTAATTTTCGCTGTGGTATTCTTGGTACCCCTAAGAAGGGCGGTATAATTTTAGGCACGTATTGACACAATTTTCACACAAGATACTTAGATGAAAGTTGTAATCTGTTTTAGAGATTACATTAAAGAATTTAGTAGTAATTGCTTTGGCAGAGGATTTTTGGGGGGAGATCATGTGGTGTTTGGGTATAGATTTTATGATTTATCTCATGGCACCTAATGTATCAGTTGACTTGTGAAAACTATTTTTGTTTGATGGATATTAAGGATTCATATATACCTTCCAGTTTGCACTGTAAACAGTCGAGGAGAGTGGGGTGAAAGCATTCCTTTATGCTGGTTTTTAAAGTGGGTTCAAAGAAATGCCCACCAAAATAAATAACGTTTTCTTTTCTCTACACAGATTTCCTCCTGAAATACCAAGATCTTTTCCATTCAACTCCTCAGTCATGTACAAAAAGACTGTGTTTGTAGAGTTCACAGATGACCTTTTCAACATTGCCAAGCCCAGGCCACCCTGGATGGGTAAGGAAAACAATTTTGAGTGCTAATTATGACACTAGTTATCTTATTTCCTAGCAAGGATTTTCCAGTCTTAGGGACTGTGGTTTGAGAGGGCAGCTGCCAAACAAAATGTTCCTTTGGCCATGTTTCCCTCACTGCCACCTACAGGGAAATACACTAACCACACTTTCATCTCTGCTTGATGCCTAGAGGTTTCCATTCTATCTTTAATCCCAAAGTGATCCTATCCAGTTTCTCCTTTTTTTTTCCTTTTTTTCACTAATTTTTTTCCCTCATTGAGTTTATTGTTACATTTTAGGTATACAGTACAGTTACATTCATCATTGGGATCTTGTACCTTTACATGACAGGTCTTGGTTCTCATTTTTTCCCCTTGTCCCTGCCCTCCCTTCTCCAGTTTCATAGCTTTAAAACATTATTTTTATACAAATAACTCCCAAATTTGTATCTTTTATTTAGACCCTAACTGCTTACCACCAATTAAATGCCAAAGAAGCATGTAACAAGATGTTAAGATGAAATATTTGCTAGATTACTTTTTCCTTTTTTTTCTTCTTTCCCCCTTCCTCCCTTCCTTCCTTTTTCTTTCTTTCTTTTTCTTTTTCTTTTTTGTTCTTTTGAGACAGGGTCTCACTGTGTAATTCACACTGCTCTGGAACTCACTGTGTACACAGGCTGGTCTCAAACTCTCAGTGATCCTCCTGTCTCAGCCTCTGGAGTGCTGGGACTACAGGCGTGCACCACCACGCCTGGCTTTCTTTCTTTTTTTTGTGGTGCTGGTGATCAAACCCAGGGCTTTCTTCATGGTAGGCATCCACTCCCAGCCCCTTTCCTAGAATTGTTGCTGAGAATTATAGGTGACAAGTATCTCCATTTTCTTTTCTTCTTTAAAAGTTACTTTTAATTGAAAAACTATATGCATACATAATTTTTAGAAATATGAAATACACGATGAAAAATTTTAAGTGTGCCTACCACTTCAACCTTCCCCTTCTACAAAAATAATCATTACCTGTAATTTTTTGTTTGTTTGTTTGGTTGGTTTTTTTTTGAGACAGGGTCTCACTATGTAGTTGAGACTGACCTGGAACTCACTATGTAGCCCAGGCTGGTCTCAAACTCACAGCAATCCTCCTGCCTCAGCCTCCCAAGTGCTGGGATTACAGGCGAGCACCACCTCGCCCGGCTATTTTAGCTTTCGTTTCATTTGACAGTATATTGTTCCTCATTAATTTCTTTGGTATCTTTATGAATCTTTTCCTTTTGTATCTCCATTTCAGCAATTTAATTTCTACAGATCATAAATGTAATATTGAGAAACATGATTCTTTTTTCTAAATATTTCATTTTCCAAGGTAAGAAATTCAATGGCTATGTTTTTCTCTCCCTCAAAGGCATCCTTTCCCTTTTCCACTATTTTAACTCTGTTTAACTTCTCTTCTCTGTGTTCATTTAGTGTTTCAACTCTTCAACACAGGACTTTAATAGGTTCACTTAGTTGTCCACAACCAGTTTTATCTTCTGAATATTCAAGCATACCCTCATCATGTTCAGTCTGGCTTTTTGGTTTCATTATAGCTATTTGTTCAACTTCGCCCTGCAATATTAAAAATCTGGAGTCTGTGGCGGCTGGCTGGACTTCCCGCATGGTCGGACGGCAGCTCTGATTCCGGGTCGCTTCTGGCAGGGTCTGGGGGTGGTGTCCTCTTCTCTTTGCGCTGGGCTGTGGAAGGCTGGGTGCCTTTATGGGACATGGTAGCTGCAGAACAGTCCACTCAGACCACGGCTGGAAATGGCTGTCAAGTACCTGCATTTTCTAAAGAGAAATACCAGCCCGTTTATTCAGGACTTTTTCAGGCTGTGGTCAAAACCCAGTTCTGCAACCTTTGGCCATGATTTACCTTCAGCCTGTATAAAAGAAGCGTAGGAACTTATGAAAAAGTTTATATTTGAAGACTCTTTGAAAAGCATCTTTGACATGTCCCCTATCCCATGGGAAAAAGGAAGGCTCTCCCTCATGTCACACCGTGACAAGGGAGGCTTCAGGAGAACCACTGGAAGAGTCAACCTAGGATCTCTGAAACTTGCAAAACACAGGCAAGGTCAGAAGTTGATGGCATAGAATGGAGGGTGGAATAAGGTGGAGTCTGACTACACTGACACTGTCAGGGGTGAAGCCAGCAAGGTCATGGGATGAGACTTGTTAGAGAGGTCTTCCTGCAGAGGCTCCATGACCCCAAAAGAAAAGGTCTACGTGGGCTATGCAGACAAAACAAAAACTAACAAAAGACATACAAAGTGACCATCTAAAAAGAGCATACCCCTTGCTAAGGACGGGTTTATATTGAAGGTGGGGAGAAGGTCTCCAAGTAACTCATAAGTTTTATAAGAAAGAGTCAGAATTTGGGCATGTGCTACACCAGGGGATACTAATACCACATTACAGTTGTTGCTCCCAAGAAAAACCGTACGTATCACCATGCCTGTCCCACTCCCACCCTCTTTCCGTGTACTCCTACCTTATAGTGTCTAGAGGCAGTTAAGGTCAATTGGGGAGGGAAGATTAGGAGAAGAAATTGAGAAAGCAATCAAGCTCCCAACAAAACTACTTTTACCCACTGCAGTTCTCAGAGCCTGCTAGAATTTAGCTGGAGAAGAAAGGGAATTTTGAGTTACAGAGGACATCAAAAGTTGGACATTAGACTGGACTGGACTTGTTAGTGTCTTAAGAGGTTGCTGTTTGATACTTGAAGGTTACTAACAAAGATTTGTGATCCATCAAAGAGTAAGAAAGGAAAATTCTACGTAATTCAGTTAAAAACAGCGGTCTAAAAAATAAAGCTATTTCATCTCACTGAATCTAGTTCATTCAATAAGTGACTTGTAAGCATCTTATACTCAAAGTATCCACAAATCTTAATTCTTAATTTCCCTCTTGATTTTCTGTATCACAGGCTAATTAACTGCCCAGTTTCAAAAACAAAAATTAAAGGAATCATCCTTGTTTTTTCTTTCTCCTGTCTCCTACATCCAGTCTGAAAGGGAACAGTGACACTCAACAACTAGGCCACACACACTGAAAGGTCCGATTGGAGATTTTATTCAAGGAGTGGGAGTAGAGAGAGAGAGAAGAGAGAGAGAGAGACAGCAGAGAGAGAGAGGAGGAAGAGAGATCAGACAGAGAGAGAGAGAGAGAGAGAGAGAGAGAGAAGGAAGAAGAAGATAACAAAGAAAGGAACGTCCTTTTATTAGTTTTGGGCTGGGCTATTGTTTACTTATGAGGTGTAGGCTACTTTTAACCTCTCACAAGCCAGGTTGCCTGTTATGGGTTCAGTCCTGCAGAAGCAGTTTTTAACTTCTCTGGACTGCTGTGGCCTTGGGGAGAGGGAAACTAAAGATAAGAACATGAGGTCATTTTAAGAGCCAAGAAGCACCAGGAAAATGCAGCCTGTGATGGCGGCGTCACAAAATACTTTAACGTGATCAGTTCCCTAACACAGTCCATCACCAGTAAGTCCTGTTGACTGCTACTCCCAAACAAGTCTCAAGATGTCCTTCTTTACTTCTTATAAAATCAAAAGTTGTATAAGTTCTTGTGGCCTACCAGGGCTTCCATGTATGCTCTCTGCCACTGTAACATTATTTTCTGTTGCTCCTCTGTCCATTCACTTCGTTCCAGCTACATCATTCCATTATGCCGAGCTTATTCCTGACTCGGAACTTTCACATTGGTTTTATCTGCTTTTAATGCTCTTCCACTAGATCTTAGCAAATATTACTTGTTTTTCATTAATAAGATCCATGTTCAAATGCTACCTCCTCAGAGAGGATCTTCTTGACCACTACATTCAAAGGATACTCTACCTCTTGCTTTATAGTTTTGTAGCACACTACCATCTTTTATAGTGGTCATAATGACTTGAAAGTTTCTTTTTTACTTCTTTACATGCTTAATGTTTCTTGAATGTGATCTCCATGATATCTGGTACCTATGACAGTTCTTAGAGTAGGAACCCAAATATGAGTTGAATTACTGATGCACTGAATGAATTACCAGAAGGTAATTCTCTGGAACAACCATGAGGCTGAGCTGGCAGCAAGAATAACTACTTTTTATCAATAATCATAGAGGAACACTTCTCCGCTGTGACTTTGACCCTCACTTTTATAATAGGTTTTCTGGAGTACCAGCCTTCAAGTGATTCTTGAGGGACATCTTATTCTTGCAGGTCTGCTGGGTCCTACCATCTGGGCGGAGGTGTATGACACAGTGGTCATTACACTTAAGAACATGGCTTCTCATCCTGTCAGTCTTCATGCTGTCGGAGTATCTTACTGGAAAGCATCTGAGGGTAAGTCAAGTTCACTCTTATTGACCTGTCCTCCTGGGGATAGAAAGGTGAGATGCATGTGCTTGGAGGTGGTGGCTGTCTTAGCCCAGTTTAAGTCACAATAACAAAATACCTGAGAATGGATGTTTTATAAAGGAGATATGCTTGTTTCGCTCACAGTTCTGAAGGTCCAAGACTATGGTACCAGCATTAGCTTTTGGGGAGAGCTTCATGGCAGATAGCATCACATGTTGTGGAGGGAAAGAGAGAAAGACAGGGATGGAGAGAGGGAGGGAGAAAAAGAGGAGGAACTTGATTTTTTAACAGTCTGCTTTCATGATAACAAATCCAGTTCTATGATACCCAGCCCATTCCCTCAGTATGAACATTAACTATTTCCAAAGGTGGTGCTCCTGTGACCCAATTACCCCTCCCACAAGGCCCTATACTATAATTAGGGCCTGTGTAAGTGGTTTGGTCCCCAGCCTGGGAGGTGGTGGAATTTTAAGAGGTAGGGCCCAATGGGAAGAAGTTGGGTCACTGGAGCATGTGCCCTCAAAGGGGATATTAGAACCCACCCTGGGTATGACAGTCATGTTTTGTCAAGTTGATTGTCTTGAGAGCCATCTACTAGATTAGTAAAGCATACTTCTCGATGTCTCTGGGTAGCTAATGGAGGCAAGGCCTTGGGGTCTCTCTTTGGCCCCGGCCCCTATGTCTCTGGTATTGTTCCCATTCTTGGCTTCTTTTTTTTGAGACAGGGTCTCACTGTGTAGTCGAGACTGACCTGGAACTCACTATGTAGCCCAGGCTGGTCTCGAACTCACAGTGATCGTCCTGCCTCAGCCTCCTGAGTGCTGGGATTACAAGCGTGAGCCACCAGGCCCAGCTTTTTTCCCATTCTCTGCTTCTTGGCTGCTTTGAACTAAGCAGCCTTGCTGAGCCAGGCCCTTCCATCATGGTGTTCCTGCTTTGGAGCCAGCTAACCATAGTCTGAATCCCTTGAAACCATGAGTCAAAACAAACCCTTCTCTCTTTAAATTGTCTAGGCAGGGTGTGGTAGCACACGCCTATAATCCCCAGTACTTGGGAGGCTGAGGCAGGAGGATCGCTATGAGTTCGAGACCAGCCTGGGCTACATAGTGAGTTCCAGGTCAGTCTCAACTACATAGTGAGACCCTGTCTCAAAAACAAAACAATACAAAACAAAAAAAGGAATGGAAAATATATCAAGCATCCGCAAGTACAGTCCTCTATAATCAGGTCCTGAGAAAGGCAGATTTGGGCTACTGCAGGACCCCCACAGTGACAGGATGTATACAGATCCTTACTTATTCGAAGCCTCCAGCATTCATGTCCCTGCCTGTCAGTCCTGTTATGTGCAGAGGTGACCTGATCAGCCCCGCTCACTTCGGTTATCTACCTTCATTCCCAGAGAGAATGCCTTAGGCAAGCGAGGGACCTCCTCAGTACTCTCTTGAAAAGATCTCCATAGATTTCCAAATCTTCAAAATCTGTTTTACCTGGGTCGCACAGACCTCTTTGATACAAATGAACATGACCTGGAGATTGATGTGCCTGACCTAGAGGAAAAAATAAGTTTCCATAGCTAATATAGAAGCTGACAGAGAACAGAGACAGTATTGGGGTTGGCACTCACATAGATGTTGTTAGGCTGGGGTTGAGGAGAGGATCAGGGAACAAAAGAAGAAAAAGAAATGATGGTACTCATTCTTTCTAAGTGTGTGGGTTCCATCTCCAAAGATTCCCCAAACCAGAGAACTCAGTAAACAGGAACAAGTATAAGCAGCTTGATTGGCCACTGGTTACAAACATGGCTGGCCTAAATCTTTGCCTAGCATACCAGTCAGAGAAGAATAAAGAGCCAAGATTAGCCTCTGAGCTTTACCCCAGATGATGCCGTCAGCATGTAAACAAAACATTTGTTATCATTCAAAAGTGAAAATTCCTTCAAATATTTTGAGGCCCTAACTGAACATCATGTCTGTCTCTCAAAGTCACTAGACTATAAATATCTCAAGATAGGAACAATGCCTGACTTGTGTATGGTCATTTTCCTCACACCTAAAATGTAGATGCTCAGTATAAGAACCAGGATATAGCAGTCACCAGCCTCTTTTTCTAAAATTGTGTAGTATGTCCCTCACCCTTTAGAATCTTCTAAGTGTGCTTCAAACATTATCTGTCATTTTTCTTCTTGTGCTTCCTTGGTCACAGCTGATCCTTCCTTCCTTCCATCCTTTTTTGTGCTGGGGATCAAACTTAGGACCTCACACTTCCCCTGCAGGCACTGTGCCACTGAGCTACATCCCTGGCCTTTTAATTTTTCTTAATGTGTCTACTAGAAAATCTCAGATTGCACATGTGCTCACATTATATTTCTGTTAAACAGCACTCATCTGTATGCTTCCAGTAGAATGGCATATAGCTTATACTGAAGCTTCTGCTCCTGACCCAGTGGCTCATTTCAGGTCTGGCTAGCCAAGTTCTTTCATCCAAGGAAAACTAGGTTCAACCCTTTCTTAGCGAGGAAGAGTCGCAAAGTTTCTGGAGTGAGTCATTTCCACTGGCTTCCACTGAGGGCAGGAAAAGGTTGTGGAAGAAGTCAGTTCCTATGACTGCATGGGACAAACATGGTATACTATCAAGGAGCACAACTTATTATGGAATATGACCTCCTTCTTGAGTGTGGCCTGGTCAAGAGGTTCATTTAGATACCTAGTTCAAGACAATTTCATGAAGTTGGGAACATTGTCCTTTTAGTTGAAGCTCTGAAGTTGAAGTAGGTCCCCTGTGGAGCCAGGCCAAGGACCTAAATCTCCCACCTTATCTGTCTTCCTATACCTAGAAAACTTTCAATGGAGGATCAAGTCTCATGGTATGAAGATGACATGGAATTCTCTCCTTCTTCCTTATTTTCTGATTTCCCATGCATTCCCTCCCTCACTCCCTGATTCATAATATGGATGCTTCCTTGTGATGAGAGCCACCTAACAGAAGAACAAGGTGATTTGATTACAACAAATCAGTTTGACCAGAGTTCCCACTGCAGCTGCCTTCTCCTTAACCTTCCCAGTGCAGGAAAGGATTAAGGGAGGCGCCAGAGTTAACTATAACACTGTCTAGGTAGCTTATATAAATAAAGACGATTTAAGTAAGTCATGAACACATTATTCAACACCATATAGCCTAATTGTAGTTGCATGCTGACTAAATTCTCATTTTGAAATGGGAAGGCCTTTGATTTTCTGGCTTTTTCTCAGGAGATCAGATCAAACCCTTGTGTTATCTGGTGGCTTGCTTCTAAACTCTGGCTTGCCAAATAAATGTTACCAGGTTTGGGATTGCTCGTCTTTCCTTCTGGAGTTGAATTCCAGGTTCTTCTCATCTCGAACAAAGAATTTGAATGAAATGAGCAAACAGTAGTGACAAAGTTTATTCAAGAAAATGAGAGTGAAGAGTGGGAGAGAAACTGGCTCTGCACAGAGAGTTTGGGCTGAGTAAAGAGATAAAGAAGGTGAGAGCAGAGATTAATGTATACGCTGCATGGGCTATCATGGAAAGTTACAATAGCACCGGCTATTTTTTTTTTTTCCCAGACAGGGTCTCACTATGTGTGTTCAGGCTGGCCTCAAACTCACTATGTAACTCTCAGGCTGGCCTTGAACTTGTGGCAATCTTTCTGCTTCTGCTTCCTAAGTGCTGGGACTACAGGCGTGCACCACCATGCCCAACTTTGCCTTCCTTTTGTTGTACCAAGCCATCAAGTACACCAAGTACCGGGACACAGATAAGACTGAAAGAAGTTTATTTCACACGTGCGGACTCCACTCTCTAAGAGAAGTGAAGCCCTGTTATACGATTGTGCATAGGTTTTATAGGGTTTACAGCCATGGCCTCATTCAGTTGGTTACATTTCATTTACAGATATACAAATCATGGTCACAAGACAGTTAACTTGCAACCCAGATGTAACCGTTCTTTGCTGTTGGGGAGTTTACCTTGAAGATTCGCCTAGCTATATATCTTAGCCCACAGGAAGGGGGTGTTCAGGTTCAGGAAAGCAAATGCTAACAATGGTTCTTTCAATTAGACACTCACGATCAGGTGGCTCCAGTCTCATCGGAGCTCAAGACCTTGATGTGCCCTGGTATCTCAGGGTGAGACCAATGTCTCATTCAGCAATTAGTGCCTATTAGTTCTGAGCTAAACAAAACAAACTGCTGTTAGAGACAGCAGAAGCCATTCTACATTGTAATACTTTATAGGTTTTTGTTATTTTCAAAAGTTCTCCCTATTATTCCTCCCTTTGCTTTTGGAGTATCTCCTTACCCCTTGTTATGTTCATGCCAATTTTCATTATTCCACATAGTTAGCAACTGATAATGTTGGGCAGCAGCTACTTTCTAATGTATGAGTTTTGATCTCCATTTTTCCATGCAGGGACCAAACATGAGGACAAGCAATATAACAATAACTGGTCCTTGAAGGTGCTAACCCAAGCTTTCCATCCTGACAAGGCCAAAATTGAATGTTATGTCCTCGGTACCTGTTGTTTGATAAGGGGAGGGGTGCACAGCAGTCTCTGGGGTCATTAGCCAGCCAACAAGGAGTCACTTTATTCAGCTTTTTTTTTTTTTTTTTTTTTTTTTTTAGTGCTTTTTTTTTTGTTTGTTTTTTTTTTTTTTTTTTTTTTTGGTACCGGAGATTGAACTCAGGACGTTGTGCTTGCGAGGCAGGCGGTGGAACCACTGAGCTAAAATCCCGGCCCTCAAGGAGTCTCTTTAGCTCAGTCAGGTCTCACATCTTTCATAGTGCCCAAATCTCGAAGAAACCCCTAAGAACACGTACATCTGGTTCCTGAGAGGCGGTTCTGGGATCCCGCGCCTCAGGCTGATGTCAGGTCTAGGTCATCCTATTGAAAACTTGCTCGTGTTCTCGCTGGAAGTCCAGTTTGGGAACTGTTTGGCATGTGTGTCCAGGATCTTGTAGTTGACAGGTTATGCCTACTTCCCCAGCCAGCTTTTGCCACGTCCCGCTCTCCTATCTCACTAGGTCACAGGAAGGTGACAGCAAGGGGCAGGCAGCATAGAGGAGACCAGGGCTCCCACAATCTTGCAGTTGAGGGCTGAACAGAGAGCCTGGGAAAGTCTGGGAAAGTAGGTCAAACAATAGTACAGTTTACTAGAGTTGGCTTGGGAGACAAAAATGATAGGCTTGCTAATCTATAAAGATAGAAAGCACATCAGTGATTGCCTGGTGAAGACTGGGATGGGATGTGAGCTGAAAAGGGTTATAAGAGACTTCTGTTTTACTGATTATATTCTCAACTTGTAGCTGAGCCAGGTAAAGGACGAGAATTCAATATCTCTTGAATACATGAGTGAATGTTTCTACAATGTATTATAATTATACCTTTATATTTCTTTGTCCCTCACCAAACATAGTGTTGTCTCTAGGGAAAAACCAAGTTTTTAAAAAAATGTTTTTAAAAAACTCTGAATCTTATAGCTGCCTGACCCTCACAGTTCCTGTCAAAGAGTGTGACGAAGTACACATCAAATGTTGTTGAATTAACCTGAAGTAGACAGAAATATACAAGGATGGAGACATTGTGATTGGTAAACAAAATCTGGGGTTCTCAGCAAAGCCTAGTTTTCACTACTTCTGCTAGGATTAGTGGTCTCAGGTTCCTCTGGACTGTATGAGGCTACTCCCCATTTGCAGCTTCTGTCTGTTAATCTTTCAAATTAAGTTTCAGAACGTATTCTTCTAATTTTCAAAATTTTTTTTCGTTTATGTATAATAATTGTATATCTTTTTTTGGCAGTACTATTGGACTCAGGGTCTTTATACTGAGCTATACCCTCAGCCCTTGTTTTACATTTTTATGTTAAGACTGAGTCTCGTTAAGTCGACAAGTTGCCCACGATGGGTTACAACTCATGCATGATCTTCCTGCCTCGGTCACCCAGAGTGCTGAGTTTACAGGCATGCGCCACTCTGCCCAACTATATTTGTATATCTTTTTGGTGTACAGTGTAATGTTTTGGTACATTTATACATTGCTTATTTATTTATTTATGAGACAGTTTTTGTTGAGTAGCTAAAGTTCCCAGAATAGGCTCAATCTTGTAATCCTTCTGCCTCAGCCCTTTCAGAGTGCTCTGTGTTGTTTTGTTTTGTTTTTTTCTTCTTTCTTTGAGACAGGGTCTCACTATGTAGTTGAGAATGACCTGGAACTCACTATGTAACCCAGGCTGGTCTCTAACTCACAGCAATCCTCCTGCCTCAGCCTCCCGAATGCTGGGATTACAGGCGTGGGCCACCATGCCCTGCACTACATTGTGTTTTTTGTTTGTTTGTTTGTTTGTTTTGTTTTTTGTTTTTTGAGACAGGGTCTCCCTATGAAGTTGAGACTGACCTGGAACTCACTATGTAGCCCAGGCTGGTCTTGAACTCACAGCAATCCTCCTGCCTCAGCCTCCTGAGTGCTGGGATTACAGGTGTTGTGTTTTGTTTTGGTTTTTTTGGTACTGGGGATCAAACTCAGGACCTTATGCTTACAAGGCAGGTGCTGTAACCACTGGGCGAAATTCCCAGCCCTACATTGTGTTTTTTAAAATTAAATGTATTTGTTTAATTTTAAAGTACATAAAAGATGAAAATTGTACATCAACAGGGTAACAGATGATACATGTATACATTATATTAAATTAGGCAAAAAATGTGTCTCCTCAAACGTCATGAAAACTTTCAAAATTCTGAAAATCTTTGTTATGTAGAATCCATTGGTAACAGTAAGCTCATGTTTCTCTGAGTAGACAATAGGCATAGAAAGCACAGTTTTATCTTTCCCTTCCCCTTCCCCTTCCTACCTCGTCTCCCTCTCCCTCTACTCCTTCTTTCTTCCTTCTTCTTATCGAACTCAGGACCTTGTGCTTGAGAGGTAGGCGTAACACCACTGAGCTAAATCCCCAGCCCTGTCCCTTCTTTTTTTTAGGAGCTGAATATGATGATCAGACCAGCCAAAGGGAGAAAGAAGATGATAAAATCTTCCCTGGTGAGAGCCATACTTACATCTGGCAGGTCTCAACAGAGAATGGTCCAATGACCTCTGACCCACAATGTCTCACCTACTCATATTTTTCTCATGTGGATCTGGTGAAAGATCTGAATTCAGGACTCATTGGAGCTCTGCTGGTATGTAAAGAAGGTATGTATAAGAAAGTGTGGGATTGAGATGAAATAAGTATAAGCAGCTAGATTTATTAATAACAATGTTCTTTCTCTGAAAGAGGTTTTGTTGCTTTTTTTTTTTTTCCTGCTAACATCATGCCCATGGAAAGGAGAAAAGTCCAATCCTTGGGAGGAAATTTATATCCTGGGTAACCCCACTGAACTCTAAATTGAGCTCAAGAATAGTCAAGATTTGGAATAGATGTCTGTTTTCAAGACACTGCTATTTTACACTTCAAATCTGTGGTCTGTCTCAGCTGTGATTTCCATTATCCTTTGCCTTTTGAGAAGTTTGAACTATGCTCCTTGAAAGCTTCATGGAGGTAAAAACATCCAAGTTTATGAATGCTGGCATGTAGACTGGCTAATGTGTTATTTGTAAGCCAAAACTGTATAAAAACCTTAGGAAAGTAGTCATTTGTAACTTGTTATCCTAAAAATAATCTTAATTTTACTTAAATCTGTTTTAAATTTATAGATTAACAGCATAAACTAAATTGAGAAGTAAATTTTGATTTTAACCCTATTTTTGTGGTAGAGTCAGCTTTACTGCAACATTTTTGTTCCAGTTGTCCATTGTGAATAACCCCACTATTTAGTGGCTAAAAACGCAGTACTTCGTTATGTCTTTGGGTTTTTTTTTTTTTTTTTTTTTTTTTTTTTTTTGTAAAGT